TTTTTTTTGATCCCTTACCCACAATCGGAGGTGGCCCTCAAGCGCTCCTCAAGTAAGAGAGGGTACAAGACCATCTTCTTTCTATGTAATTATCTATCTGTATACAGCTACAAGCTACATTTCTTTGATGCTTTAAACAGATTCACGGAGGGGCTGGCATTGGGTCGCCTGCTGCCGCGTTTGGCGCCGCGTTTGCTCTTCTCAGGGCTTGATGTGCTCATCTACTATTGGGATGACCGGGATGGCTCGGGTGCTCAGCGGGTACGAGTCGCAACAGACGCTTTGGTTGGCTGTGAGACAACCATCCCACGAACCATCCGAAAGAGGTCCAACGCCCCCCCCTCGCCCCCGAGGGCCCGAGCTCTGTGGCTGGTGGTTTGGGCCCAACGTGGGAGGGGACCAGGCACGGCGCGAAGGGCGTGGCGGTTCGGTGGGGTCTTCGGGCCGCTTCGCGACGGTGTTACGCCCCTCAGCACCTTCAGTGCGGGCGACAACTGCATTCGTGGGCCCGGAGAATAGGAGATGAGGTACGACATGTACAATAACAAGGACACAAAGTAAGTATGCGAGACACTGCTTGCGGGCTTGCACTGCCAGTATACCATTTAATACAGATCTGTTGCCCATGAGGTCTCTTCCGCGCCTTTGTTTGTGGCGCGAGCGCCGCGGCCCAAGCGCTGCGGGCCAGGTGTGGGCCTATCACCCGTCGCGCACGGCGGCCACGCCGCCGGCCTCCGAGTGGAATGTGCCCCACGACGGGCCCATCGACAGTAGCTTCAGTGTGGCCATGCGACGCTGGGCAGCAGAGGGGTAAAGGGTCGGGCGATCATGGTCAGGCCAGCGCTTGGGCGGTGTGGAGCTGGACGCCATCTGGGGTTTCATTGGCCCTGGGTGGTTCGGAGCTTCGTTTCTCTTTAGTCTAGAGTCACCAAGAGAGTTTTTTTGTGACCGTAAATAAGACCATACTGGGGTACCCAACTGACATGAGTCGAAGCAGTCGGCTTCTTCGACCCACCCACCCCGGGCGTCGACTCGGGCGTGGCTGTCATGAGTGACACCTGATACACCGGACTGAGTTGCCGTGGCCCGGTCTCCCAGGAAACGCCGCGGCTCGCGCCCCCTCAGGTGCGCGCAGTTCGCTGGAGAGGGGGGTGCGTGTGACTCCTACGGTGGGTGATCCTGTTGGCCAGGAGCTAAACCCCTTTTGTTGATCATGGATCCTGGTTTTGGTTGGGGCCTATAGGGCGATGTTAATTTTTCCTATTGGCCCATTGACGAGTCGTGTCCATCATTCGGGGAATATTTTGCTTATTTCTCGGTTCCTCAAGCAAATCCAAGTGACTAGGGAAGAACCAGACCAGGGACGCATCTGCCAAAATGGTTGCAGGGGACTCGAGGGAGATACATTTTCTCGATGTTTCGTACGGTAAAACCAGATGTTTTCATTGACATTAGGCCGTCGCCATAGCGGTCGACACTTTACCGCGGAGAGCCCAAAGCAAAGGTCCGTTGAAATCGGGACGCAAACCCGAAGCCGCGGCCGTATCGAAAAGAACTGGTCTGCTGAAAAGAACTGGAGCAGCGACCGGAGAACTGCAGCTGTTCAGATCAGAACAGAGGATCCATGCGAACATGAGAAGACAATCGACCCATTCATTCACCTTCACTTGATGTTTGCAGCTGTTGTACACCACTCCATGCCATGGATTTTGGACTGTCCATGCCAGGAGCACAAAAGACAACTTTCTTTTTGCTGATGCATTCACCTCTTGTCCTTGCCTATTTCTCAAGCAACCTTAGCCTTGACACCAGCACCTTAGCCTTATGAAGTTCACTTGCAGCTTGATCCTCAACCAGGTCCTCGGGTCCTTGTTTGGGCAGACTTGAGGATAATTCCACCCTAAAGCAAAAAAGAACAAGTGGATCTGGAGAACACCTACTAGGACCTTCCAAGAGGTGTCTATAACTAGCCTCTTGGACTCTTAGAGGTTAAGGGGTATCCAAAAACCATCTGTTGGAAGTTCCAGTCTCCGAAAACGAATCTGCAACCGAAGTGGAGACCCAAAGTGCCAGACCCTTCCGATCCGCACCTCCTCCCCAACGATCGACAGAGCGGCGCCGCTGGACCCAGCGAAAGAGACAAACCCAGATCGACCATCCCAACAAAGACCGCAAGAAAGATGGGGAGACCTCCGCGTCCCCTTCCCCAGACATCACACCCAGTTTTTGGGGTGAGATGCCCAAAATCACCTCACGCACCCCATTTTCATGCCAGACAATCCCTCTCAAACCTTCCGAAACTCGAGGGGGCGCCCCCCATGTCCCCACCCGGCTTGGTTTCCGCGTCCGCCGCGTGGCTGCGCTACGTGCGGAACAGCGCCTACTACGCCTTCTTCCGCCGCGCGCCCAGCGTCCACGAGCTGCACCGCGCGCACGTGGCCTGGGTACCAGCGGCTTCTCGCGGGCAGGCGGCGGGGTTTCGGTGTGCGGTGTATGGGTGACAAGCTGGTGACACGCGTGATAAGCGTGTGGTCGTTGTGCCCAGTTGTTTGGAATGTTTGAGTATACTTCTACATGTTGTAGACATCCAGAATTGGCTGGGGACCAGGTACTTGCAAGTTGGTGATCGGTGAACGAGTTGGTTTGACCTGCGCAGCCTCTTAACAGCCGGGGGCTGCTGTTTGAGCGTTGTTTGAAGGAGGTCATGGAATCACACCTGTCATGCTTATGGTATTTTATTGCCTTCTCCTCAAGAGATATCTTTGTTTCAAGCCATTTAGACCTGAGCTGTGTGCTTCCACCGTGTGAGGTGGTTTCAAGCGATGAGCTGCGCTCAGTGTGGCTCATCAGGGAGTGTATCGATCAGGAGGCTGCCCTTCGCATCAAGGCTTTGCTTGAGAAGCAGCACGAAGATCTCTGGTGGCTCAGAGAACAGAAGTGCAGTTGGGAAAAGTCACCCTCAGTCAGTTTAGAAGAAGACTTAGACTCTTGCAGATTCAACCTCTCCAAATCCGAAAGATCAAGTTCATCAATCCAACCCCGACCCTGTGGCATTGGCCTCGTTCTGATCGTTCTGTGACAAAGAGGAGTGTGGATGCCACCATCCGACGTCAAAACCTGCTCTGGATTTGGTTTGAATGTTTTTTCACCAGGCACGGCTATGAACTGGGCCGCCGGATGCTCCCCTTGCACGCGGACCCGCCGCTGGAGGCCTCCGAGGCCGCACAGCTGCAGCTGGGAACGCTGGACGTCTTCGGGAGGCGACCGCCGCAGGCGTGGCCCAGGCTCCAGCAGATGCGGGACGAAGGGCTGGCGGGCGCGGAGGAGCTCTATTGCTTGCAACAGGTGGAGTTGGAGGGTTGGTAGGGAGTGGGGGCCCCGCGTGGGCCCGTGGAATGATACGTTTTACTGTGGATGTCCCAGGGTGAATGTTGAGATCCCTCACCTGAAACGCACCACAAGGAGAACACTTGTTCCTGCACCACAATGAGTTGATGGAATCAGGAATACTAGTCACTTGTCACATGTTGTCCATTTGTTTTGCACATTTTTGTTGGTATGCCTGGACCACAAGAGGCTGGGCCTCACAAGGAGGCTGGACCACTGGAGACTGGAGATCTCACACAGTGTTCCGAAAAAGCAGTGGACAAAGCAGTCGCCACAGGTTTTTGGCGTACACCAGCAGCCCTTTTGAAGGCAAGGTGTTTACTTTCTGTGGAGCTTCAACCTTTGTACGTAGCCAGGTGAATCTTATAGACCAAACCATTTCAGGCGACTCTATTATGCATAGCCAGGTGAATCCTCAGACACGATGATGAAGCTCGGGTTCCGTTCTTCGGCGCGAAGGGAACGGAACCTCGTTCTCCCTTTTGGTCTCGAGACCGCTTGATGGTCAAGAAATACCCCCCCAATGCGTCCAAATCTTGAAATGGTTGAAACCTTTCTTTCTTTTCAAGCAAAAGGCAGCAATTTTCACTATGCTATTCCTATACTACGAAGCTCACTCGAGACATGTCTTTTGTGGTCTTTTAACATGGTTGTCTTGATTGAGCAGATCATTTAAGTTTTGTTTGTTCAAACCTCGAGTTTCAGATTGGCCTGTGCTTCCCATCACCGGCCCATCACCTCCCCCAGGTGGCGACCGATCGACTTGGCTGGGGCCGGTGCCTCTTCGTGGCCTGACATCTAAGAATCACCAGGGTGATTCTTCTGTTTTGCAGGAAAGCAAGCGGCAACAGCAAAGTAGAAGAAATCGAAACTCAGAAACCATCAGACACCATGTTTTGGAGGTTTTCATGTTCAGAACTTGCAGGTGTCCGAAACCAAATCCACCGGATCTGCACACCTCTCACTTGCAGACTCCCCGACTCAGCCCCCTCTCCCCCCATTCTGCACCAGCCACCAGCCACCACACCTCAGGTGCAGGCGCAGCAGCTGGAGCCCGGCGCCTCGGTGAGCGCCCACCGCGACGCGCTGCCCTTCGGCGGCGACCGCATCTCGACAGTGGTGCTGCAGGGCAGCGGCGTGGTGCGCGTGGGGCACCAGAGCTTCGAGGCGCGACGGGGTGCGGAGGTTCGGGTCCACACGGTGTGGGAGGAGCGGAAGGGGAGGTAGATTGGTTGGAAATAGATCAGGTTTTTTGTCTGGCGCCCTCAAGCAATGGGTGGCCTGATTGAATCAATGCTTTAGTTCTCGCCCAATGCACCTGCCAGCGCCAGCCTGAGACGTGTAACGAGTTCGATTTGATTTGAGCAGCGAAGAATCCAATGGTGTCAGTCTTAGAGTTTTCGACAGGATCAAAAAAGAACAAATCATATGAAGAACAAATTAATCAAATCAACAATACAACATGATAATACATAACAAACCACCTGGTGGGGAGGGTTGGATGGACGACGAACTCGACCGTCTACCTCCCTATTGGCTGTGATCCACCCAGTGCTGCTGCGGGGATAGCTGGACCGGGGCGAGGTAAATCGGTAAATCGCATCCTCTCAATGAGAAAAAAATATTCCACCCAGACAGGCTGGGATGAACTCGTACCTTTCCTCTACTGAAAGAGTGCTTGCGAATTGGGTAGTAGATGGAAACATGTTGCAACCCTAAGTCAAGCACTTTTGCAGACGTTTTGGAACTTGCAACATCAGGTGGGCCACGGGCCACGAACGTACGTACTTCTCCTCGTTTGTTCAACAGGTCAACGCCGGAGACTTCTACGCCCTCGCCGACGAGGCGCGCTACTTCGTGGAGCACGAAGTGCAAACGGCGCCCTCCGACCGACTCAGTCACCTGGCGGAAAGGCGCACGTTTTTGGCGCGATGGGTGAGGGGAGGGAAGCTAGCTGAGTTGGTGAAGAACAGCTGAGTTGGTGAAGGTCCTGGCAGGATTTGGTGAAGGTGACAGGTGATTTCTTCAACCAGGACGCGCGACAAAGAACTGACAGAGAAGTGGCAAGGAACCAGGACACTCGAACAATGCTATTTGGTGGATAGTGTGCGGATTTCCAGAAGGGTTTACCCTTTGGTTGTCCAGGTATTATATAATTATAGCATGCCAGACTGTTATGTGGTTTTGGCACCAGACACAGAAGTGCTTTGCCAGTGTGCGTACCAGAATTCCAAGTCGGCCTTGTGCCACAAATCTGGAATCATTCCAGCTCTCCTTTTGAGCCCAAATTTCCAGTGCCTCACTTCCGCCGAGATTCCGACCCACTCCCGATATCGGGATATATAGGGGTTCTCGAGCCCTCGGTGAGGCCCCACACCTGCACCGACTGCTCCCGAGGCCTCACCTTCCGCTATGGGCTGAGCCCGCACAGTGCCCTACCCTCCATGGAGGGCGAGGAGCTGCGTGGTGACCGTGGCGGCGGGTCAGCCCTGCGCGACGTGTAGCGGACCAAAAGGGCGCCGGGGGAAGAAGAGGGACGGAGAGTGTGGCCGGAAGACCTGGCACACATGTTTTCGCTTTTTTTTCTCTTTGTTTTATACTGAAGACTAGAAAACATGTGCTCAGTGTTTTATGGCGTTTTTTGTTTTCTAATCTATATAGACATAAGAAGGTTGGAATATCTTGGAGCAGAGCCTGAGCATAGCAGCTTTGACATGGCCAGTCACGAAAGGTCATGGTTTGATCATGTTTCCACCAACAACCATTTGCTATGGAAAGGATCTCAACTGCCATATTTGGCAACATCCATGTGTTTCTGGTTGGGTATGGGGTTCCAGGTTGGACTTGGTTGCCGTAGCGGATTCCTTTCGATTCGCACCGTTTTCCAGTGTTGGCCATCCATGGGGGGGCCGTGGGGCGTGGAGAACCGGAGAAGTGCTTTGTGGGCCCCGTTGGGATGGTCGGCCAAGTTGAGAGTCTTGGGCCTTGGGACTGTTCCTGTTCGAGACTAGGACAATTGGTTTTGGAATTGCCAAAAGGGCCAAAAGCAACGCTCTCTATCTCGGCCACCATGATCATAAGGTGTGGAGTAAAAAAAAAGGAACAGGAACATTGAAAGAACACATTGCTTGGTGTGTGTGACTGGGCCCCTGCTGGATCTCGGCTTTGGGCTTCAGCCGTCCTCCCAGCTCCGGGCTCCGTTCCGCTCGCCGCTTCTTCTGCCCTTCGCTCCTTCAGCTCCTTGGAGAACTTCAGCCGCGGTGGGAGCCGGAAGAAACGCCCGCCGAGAGCCGGGTGAAGACCATAATAACTTCTGCTGTGGATGTTCATTCACCCAAATGATCCCTTCTTCGAGAAACATGGCCCAAAACGCCACCGACGACGATTAAGCGAAACCGATGGAATGGCCGAAACCGACGACGATTGAGAACTTGGTCATTCTTCGCAGGAGACGACCAGCAGAACTTAGCCACCTCACTTGCTGTTTTTGACATGTTCGACGTTCCATACTACCATATACTACCCATGGTCGGCCGGCTCCTTTGCCTCGTTTGAGTTCTCAATAGAAAGTATATCCATCCTATTCCTGATAACTCTGGCATAGAGAAAACCTTAACAACAGGTACGGCAGTTGCCTGTTTACCTGTACAGTATGTCCTCCCACCCTACCCTGGGTCCCAGCCCCACCCTCCACAAAAGGCATTCACCCGCACCCAGCAGCCCTCATTGCTCCAGCACACACCGAGACACCCGGCTTCCGGCGTGACTGAGGTTGGTACCATGGCTCGTGTGCTTTGCCTCCTCTTCTCCGTCTTCTCCGTGTTCGCCGAGGAGACGCCCTCCCTTCGAGGCCGGCCGTGTTCTCCGCCACGGTGGTGCCCAGGGACGGACGTGGTTTTTTGATGATGGACTGAGCTCCCTACCCGAGCAGGGCGGGGGTTGACCAACAAGAAGTTTGGCCAAGTTGAAGAAGGCTCAACCTTTCAAACCTTCAAGAGAAGCAAGCAGCTTGAGGCTGAGAAGCAAGTAGATAGGTTTTCGTTCGTTCGATCAGATCCGAAGATTGGGCGGAATCGGGGTGATTTTCATAGGGCAGATTGGGATTGGGAGGGAGCAAGCCCTTGTGGGAAGCCGGAGACTGGAGATGTTATCCATTGATGAAGTCATTTCACCAGGAATTCTTCGGTAGCCTAGCTGCCCCCTCTGTCCCACAATCCGCCGTTGGATGGGGGCAGATGCCCACCACCAAGTAATGTAGACTCTTGATTATACATCAACCCCTCATTTGCAGAGGTTCTATTCATCTAAGAGTCTATATCCATGAGATGTTCCTTTTACCTACGCTCAGGTGCAGGCGACAAGGGCGATAACTTGCACAGCACCGATGTGGCCTGCACTGGTGCCAGGGCGATGAATTCACTTGGGCTCAGTCAGGGTGGAGTCGAAAATATCAAACAAACACCGGTGGGCCCTGTGACCCAACCCCAATCCGCTTGGAAGACCTTCCGCCCGTTTCCCCATCCGCCCAGTCCGACGTTTCACGTCGCGGATGACCGGTCATGACCTGTGTGGAAGAATTCATCCCTTCCTTCCTCAGAGGGGATGAACAGGAAACGAGATTCAACAGCTCTTAGCTGATTTAGACCACGCAGAGATTCAAAGCTTTTGCCATGACTGAGAGGTGTTTCTTTCTCGTTCTCGGGGAGATGGCTCTGTGAAAAAGCCATGCATTGACGGACGATGGCTCTGCCACAGTGGTTGATGGTAGGTCCTGGTAGGTCAGACCCTCAAGTTTTCCACAGAGGTTGGTGTATCTCTCCATCGCGGTTCGTTTGCGGTTCGGTTTTCCTCTTAAGACGTGGTCCCATACATCCTCCATCACCGTCGACCGCATCGCGGACCGCCGTTTTTTTTCCAGAAACGGACACCCGAAACACCCCAAACCCCAGCGATTGCGCCAGAACATGGGTTGCCAGAACATTCTGAGATAGAGTTCTTGACCTGGTTTTTCTTTGTGCACGAACATGACAGGCACACCGACTCTTCTCATCCTTCTGGGAAAGCCAGACGTGCTGACGTGCTTTGAGTGCCAGCAGTAGATGTCATGTGCGTCTTTCTTTCTATGTGTGAAGAATCTCTTCCAATGCGTAGCCACGCAGAAGAATCTCCACCATGAATAGAAGGCGTTTCCGGCGGGGCTACCGTCCAACGTCGGACAGGCAGGATCGTTGACCCTGGGAGTCCCGGGTGAGTCGGCCTGGACCTTCCCATGAACGAAGCCTATCCGTTCGTTTCTTAATAAAGGTGGACCTGGTTGTACAAGTCCTTCGTCAAACCTGTGGTTCTTCGGGATGTAGGGCTATTCAATTGGTGGTTGGTTGGAGGACTCCTATAGTCAGTGCCACCCCTGCCCGCTCAGCTCTTGTGCGCGTCGGACGGCCGAGGTACTGGCAGCTTGTCCTCGGAGGGGCCTTCCTGCTACGGTGGGAACATTCTGGGACAATCTTACGCCCTCGAGGCCTTCCGCCGTGGAGCACGGCCATGCCGTTGTTGAGACCGACGGGTGCCGAGGACACCTCCTCGCGGGTGTGGGTGTGGGAGACCTATTCACGTGAGGGAGGAATCCAGGCTCTGGGAGGAATCAGAATGATCCAAAGCCGGAGGATCTCTTGTCTTTTTTGGGGGAAGGGGACATCCTTCAACGAGTGGGTTTGGGTCGATCTCTCATCACTCATCACAATTCGAACTGGAAGTCTCCCTATCTCACACCCGATGCATGTGGGTTCAAAACTAGCATACGATGCTCTCTTGCCCAAGGAAGATCCTCTCAACCACCAGCAGGTCTCTCATGAGCCACATCCATAGTTGATGTTTCGGAGTGCTTTTCGACTCGAATCGGATGGACACCGTCTCCAATCAGTTTTTTGCAGTGCTGCACAGGCGCTTGGAAATGATGGACTTCCGTAGTGACGGACTTCCGTAGTGATGGTGGAAATGCTCCGTTTTTACATGCTTTTACTGAACGTGAAAAAGCCACCGCCGCGTCTTTTCATCCCATTCGACGTCCTTTTTCAGCGGTTCAGGTCACCAACTTCGACGGAAGCTCGGGCGTGGTGAACATGCACGCGGATGGCGCTGCCATCACAGGCGAATGCCACGGCGCAGAGCTGCCCGGATGGATTATATATCCGACCTGACACAGGAGAGCTGCAGCTGAATGAGCAGCTGGATGGCTGGGAGGGCATCCCTTTTGGCCCGTTCGACTTCCAAGAGACTATTAGACAAATTGGAACGACCTGGGCTTTGTAGTGTAATCAAAATCCTCAGTAAAACAATGCTTGTTCGGGATCCAATGAATGGTGCACCAGGAATCCTAGGGCTTGGGATTTTCCGGGGTCCACTCCAGACCGCTCCGCAGAATGTAATCAGGGGAGAGGAGTTCCAGGGCAGTGTCTTTCTTCATGACTTGGGGTGAGTGCAGCTGATTTTCTGGGGTATGGCAGCACGGTGCTTGGTCGAAAACGCCGGTGGGGTGGCTGCTTCGGCCTTTGAGTCCTCGCGTCTTCGACTCGGCCTCGGTCGGCCTTCTTGCTTCGGCGGCCGGTCGTGGTTCTTCCGCACCGTGTGACACGTCGGTGACGGGCCGGAATGGAGGTTCCACAGCAACGAGAACATTATTACCGTGGAGAACTACAATGGTTGCCTTCTTGGTGCACTCAAGGCGGAATACAAGGTCCACTACTGCCCGGACCAGGTGATCCGTCCGAACGTTGGAGTTGCGCCTGGACGGGTGGGTCGCTATGGTGGCTGCGGTGTTTTCAACCTCCCCCCGCAGGGATGAGCCGAGATGGCCGACTCAAAAACACCTCCACTTGGTTGAGGGCGAGCCCTTTCGTTCGGAGGATTGGGTTGACAAGCATCTGCGTTTCTTTCGCTCACGGCGAACAAGACATCCGCCAGCAGCGTGACAACTGCAATGCCAGCTCCCAGATCCCTTTGAGTGGGAGAATGCCGTTTATTTCAGCTCTATAGACTTTAATGGATCATTTTTTGGTTTGTCCTGGTGGGTAGTCAAGGCAGGAAGGAAGAAAGGAAGGAAGACAGGAAGGAAGAAACCCAGTCCAGGGCAACATTCAGAGCTGTTCAAGGAACGCCCGGTAGGCCATGTCAACCCCCCCTCCGGTGCGTTGGCGGCCCTTCCACCGCAATGCCCTTTCAACCTCTTCGGCTGCGGTTCCGGCGGATCAACGAACGCCACCGAAGCCCGGACTCCGCTCCCGCCTTCCGCGCCTGCCTTCCGAGGACTACGTGATTGTGAACGTGCTCAAGCCCTTCGATGTAAGGGTGGTCCTGCCAAGCCAGAGCTGTGCAGGCGATCGGCACCGGCGCTTTGGAACGCCGAATGGGGCGTGCGTCAAGGGCGTGCGGTCAAGCGTCCAGGGCGAAGAAGGGCGGTCCTTGGGTGGTTTTCCCCCCGGCGGCTTTTCGAGGCGGTGGGTGAAGGAGAACTTCTGTTTGGACTCATGAACTGCTTGATTTGGTTGTCATAATCCACATGATCCAGGTGGACGGTCCGGGGGTGCTTCACTCCGGAAATCACCTGATGCTCCAGTCATGATCCAATCCTAAGAGGGTTTCCCTCCAAGTGAGTGGACGTTTTTCGGCCACCCCTCCAATGGATACCGTATGGGCACGTGATGGGCCTGGAACTTGCACCAGGGAATCGCTTCGCGACGGAGTCGACTGGTTGGAGTGCCGACTGTGCTGACAGAACAGATTGAGTCTCATGGAACCTTTTGCAAGAAAAACACCAGTGAGGTCCCGGACAGTTCCTCCAAACCTTCGGTGCCCTGGACGGTCCCAGGGTGCCGAGACTCTTTTTGGGGATTTTTTGGATTTCTGTTTGCCGTGGGCGCGGTCCGAGCCTGAGCCCGGACCAGCGTTCTTTGTTCCTCTGCGCCAGGTGAGGTCTGAGGCATGGCAATGTCCAGTGCCAGGTGAGGTTTACAAGACTTCTGCGACCTGACCCTGTAAATATGAGGGCGAATTGGTACACCCGGCATACACAGCCGGGTGAAATTCCTTGGTGCTTGGCGGCTGAAAGAGAAGTCTGCGTGCGGCATCTCTAGCATGAGATGCCAGTCCACCAAAGCATCTTTGATGATGAATTCCACTCTGACTGGCTTTTCAAAAGACTATATAAAGACATATGTTCTGAACAGCACGAGTTTCATCAACATCATCAACTCTGAAAAGCACCAGGTGCTTTCGAGGGTAGACTCGTCTCCGCCAGCCTTAGTTCGATTGTCAAGCCCATAGTGCTTGACACCTGAGGGTTTGCCCTCTGCTGCATGGCAATGAACTGCAAAATGACTGAAAAGGAGGAAGGTCGGAAATGCATCGGCGGGTCGCGAGGCTTGCAATCCAGACATCACAGAGGGTCAAAGTGATACCAATGCTCTTGGCATTGGTGGGTGCATCTATCTACTTCAGGAAATGGATCTAAACATGCTGCCAAAGCTGAGTCAAACCGGCCTAGACATCTCGGACCTTCCAAGAACTGGACCACTGGCCACTGGATCCCCTCAACGCGAGCCTGTGGGCCACTTCGGAAGGTCATCCTGTTGGCCAAACCTGGCGGGTCATCAGGTCAGATCGGTGAAGGGAAGATACGTCCAGGTCTGAAAGGTTTAGGCTTGAGTAGTGAAGAGGCCACTGGTGCAGGGTCAGTGTCCCACGATTTCATTTTCAAGGTCAGTGACCCGCCAGACCTGGGTTTCAACCTCTTCATGACCGGCGTCCGAAGGGTTTTTTTCGGGCTTCACGTTGGACTGGTCGATCGCCACTCCGCCAGGGGAGAAGGCCAGCCCCAGTGGGGAGAAGGCGGGTGCACCGTGATCTGGCGGACGCTGGTGCTTTGGCGGTTTTTTGGCGCGTGAAACGACCATCCGTTTGGCAAGGCTCCATGTCTAAGGAAGGGCGGAAAAGTGTGGATCCTCCGAACTCCCTTCAACCATTTTTGTGGAATTTATTGTTATTTTAAAAAAAATAAACATTTCTCCTTGTGGTGTCATTACAATGCAGACCCCTTGTTTTGTTTTAGTCTGACCTAATTACTGTAGGCCAAGCAATACCAAACAACCTCGTCCGAGCGCCCAGAGGGTGGAGGACCTGCCCAGTCGGTCCAAGGCCGTGGTAACCCAAGAGAGGTTAAGTGACCATACATAAGACTTGGGTCTGTCCGTTCTTACCCTGCAACAGTCACTAAACAATAATCATCCTTTTTAAACAAGGCCTTTACTAACCATCATCATCCACTGTTACAGGTAATGGGATAGGCCCAACATAAGACCATACTGGGGTACCCAACTGACACAACTGACATGAGTCGAAGCAGTCGGGTTCTGACCCACCCACCCCTGTTGCACTGTCAATCTCCAAGCCGGTCACATCGGTCACCGTTGGAGGATGGTTTTTGGAAAGCAGAAAACTCTGGTCGAGGTTCATTCTGAGATGCCGCATTATGACCGAACAATAATCCTCAAAAGCTTGTGAATGCATGTATACAGTATACAGGAAGTCACGGTTCGGTTTTTCCACCCATGCTTTCCACTCGAATCGGCTAGAACCTCCGATGTCACACCACGTCCACGAGACCAAAAGGAGATGAGTCCGCGAGTCGCGTTTCCCTACCAGTAGATCCGTTCCGTTCCGTCCCATGGTAATTCACCGGTCGTTCCGGTGGTTCCTTCCAACCACCGGTCGTTCGCGGTTCGGCGGCCCGTTCTTCGCCGAAGAGACGAGAGTGCCTCGACACGCCAGAGAGGCGCCCGCGGAGCGACGACGTCCTGAAGGTCGAGCGACCTTGGGGTTGGTGGGGTGTGGCGAAGGACACGAACGACTGGGGGGATGAGGAGCTTAGAAACAGATGTATCACGAGGAGCAGAAGAAGATGCCATGCTCGTATTTCCATGTACAAAAGCCCTTCTACCGGACCCTGAGTCGAAGGGCTAGGAGGCGGCGAGAACTGAGTCATGTCCACAAGCAAATCGCCAGAAACACGGCAGATCGACCATTTTTGCAGGATTCTCGTTGTCAACCATAGGTTCCGACCAATTGGTCCACACCACTTGCCATGGCGAAGCCCAGCTGCTTGGAGGGATTCTACCCCACAAAAGGCTCTTTTGACCGGGTCACACAACGAACGCACGATTCACCTGCTCCTTGGCATCTATATAAACGCGCCAACCGCTCCGCAAACCTCTCCCCCTGCTGCGAAGCGAAAGCAACGCTGCTTTCGCTGCGACGCTGCTCGTCACGCGAGGTCGATCCAGCCGCGCCCGCGAGGAGTCGGCGTTCGGGGGGCCTGGCCCCGATGCTGCGAGGGGAGCGTGGACTGAGGCCGTGAAGAGTACGCGTGTGACACATGGAACTCGGAGGGTGGGAGAATCTGATCTGAGAACACTCCAGGGATGTCCCCCAAACGTTGCAAAACTGGGAGATTTTGACAAGTAGGATCATGCAGGGAATTTTTATATAGATACCTGCATTGACCTGTGACCCTCCCCATGTGTGATCTAAGGTTCATACGTGGAATGTCTGGAGTCGAGACATACCAGACAAGGTCAACATGGTTCGATGCCTCTGGGGGAGACTCCTTGCATGGGTTGCGGCACGCCAGAAATCTGATTAGCTTGGGAGGTCACCCAGAATCTCAAGAATCTGACTGACGGGACCTCATTTGGACCATGTGACCCGCTTTGCCTTAGACACTCATGATGATGTTCTGCATCATGGAGAGGGAAGATGATAGCCATTGGCAATGACCAAGGCCGGTGGGACCTCCACGGTCTCGCGCGCGGTCAAGGACCGCGGGAGATCGCAACAGCGAAGCGGAGCTGGGGGACTCAGAAAGGAGCTGGGGAGCAGCTGGGGGTCCAGTTTTTGAACATGAGGACATGAGGACTTCTTTAGAGTTTTATGTAGAGTTTCTTTTGGTATGGGGGGAATTTCTTTTGATAGGAGAGTGTGCAGTTTTGGTATGCTCTTGTTCGTTTGAATCCTTGTTGGAATCAGGCCCCCTTTGAATCCTTAGTTGACCATGTTGGCATTTAGGAATTGTTGCCCCCATTGCAGGGTCCTGATGCTTGTTGATGTTTTGAAGGGAATCTGATCCCTACCGAAAATCGTCCGCCGAACTGTTGCCATGACGTATTCAAAAAAGAGACCATCAACTCCAAAAAGACCAGAGGAGGCCCCTGTAGTTGGATGAGTTCCACGCGTGGAACGGACCAGGGGATGTGACTGGTGGCCGTCTCCCTTTCGACACCGGAAATCGTGTACCACGCCTCCAGTGAATCATCTCTCAACCGGATCAAGACTCCAGTGAATTCATCGTCTCAAAGTGGAAGCCACTGTGATCCTCGAGTGATTGCGTATAGTGCTCGTTTGGCCATGCCGGTTTCGTTCAGCTGAATGGCGAAACACTTCTTGAAGTCACGGGAGACATCACTGGCTGGAAACTCAAGGAGCAGATGAAGGAGAAGTGTCTTTGGGACGCAAGCTTCGCAGCTGACATTGTTGTGGGCGCCAAGGGTGCAAGTAGATTGCTGACAAATGATGAAACGGCTGCAAATGCAGGAATTTCTCAGAATCAGATGTGACTGTAATGAATTGTGAGGCAAAGCACTGTGACATGCTCCAAAGGTGAGCTTGCCACGGTTCTCTCATTTCGACTTGAAATTGACATCATTGCAGTTCAAATCTCAAGCGGTGCAAATCCATCAAGCATTCAGCCAACACCGACGGTGTGACGGTTTCACACCTGTGACCCAGATGGACAAACAGTGACCCTCGGTCAGAGGTCTCGTGCCTTGGTCTCACACCGTGCTGCACTGTGTGCACCGTGTGACTATCCTCGACTTAGCCCACATTGGGTCTGGTGCCGAAAGGGAGATTGCAGCTCGTGACGCAGTGGAGCCGAAGCCTCCGCTGAGAGTCGAAAGCGGCGTAGAACACACCATGACCCACGCGCCCTTGCCTCCGCTCGTGAGAGCGGAAGGGCTTGGAAGCACACACTGCAGAGTTGATGTGAAAGCTTTTCAAGTGGCGCGCCATGGGCCATGGCGAAAGAGGACACTCCCTGAAAAAGAAACAACAACAACAACAACAACAACAACAACAACAACAACAACCACAACCACAACCACAACCACAACCACAACCACAACCACAAC